CGTACATTGCTGTTAGATTACCGCGCAGAATCCTCAAAGTGCCGATGACTGGCGTCAGTCATCAGTAATTTGTCGGTTTATTTCGATCATACAGGCGTCGTCGGGTTTCACGAGCCTGCTGGGCCCACAAGAAAGCCGTCGCGTTGCCTGGTTCGAGAACACCGACCGTAACCGCGCTTTCTCGTGACCGGGATAGCCTGACAAAGATCCGACGCCAAAGACTTTCACCGTAGAGAAAGGTACCGTGAGGAACCTGCATTGCGCCAGTACCAGTCACTTTCGCGATAACGTACCAAAATTGCCTGTCATCACCAAAGCCTGCGCCCTCACCAAACAACCACAGCCAGCCGCGAAGTTTTCAGCCTGGTGGCCGCCGCCGCAGCCCGGTGCAAAAGGTATCGAAAAGTGGTACGGAAGGATGGGAAGCGCGTTCAGCGTAAGCCATACTTCACGACAACATCACGATCAGCAGCGCGCGCTCAGTGATGCCAATGGCAGATTGAAAAGCAGCCCAATATGTTGCCGACAACAGACACGCTTTATGTTCTCGAAATCGGGTTCTGACAGGAAGGAGTAGAAATCCGTATTACACGTTTGAATTCAGCTCGTTCTGATGAAAGGTTAACAAGAAGTCTTCACAAATGCCTGACGCATCAAATTCATTGATGATTCGTGAGTAATAGCGACATTCACTGCTCGACATAAAGTAATGTTGGTCGTTCGTGGTTTAACCAGTAAACGGCATTCAGCCAGCCTGGGAGAAGGGATACCTTCAGAATCGTACCAGCCGTTAAACCAGAAGCAGGCCGATGTCGGCAGCATCACCAAGCCTTCACCATGAAGTTCACATTTCGAAGATGACAGCTTGTTGGGTATCATTCAGCGTTCGGCAAAGTTTGCTTTCGAGCCGACGACGACATCCGAGCCGGTGTTTTCGTGTTTGTTCAGGCGTTGCCAAATAATTATCCGTTCTGTTTTGAGAGGGCATGATACTGGTTTCCAAAACGGTTGAAAGTCAGAATAGTCTGAATTTTCAGATTACGATGTTCGGTGTTAATTGCGGTTGACCGGCAAGTTAATACTGTTGTAAAACACATCTGCCGATGTAGCACCTCAGTGTAACAAACCGGAAGTTCGGAAAATAATCAACTTTCGGCCTTAGTCCTTGGTTTGGACTCACAATCCTTGAAGCAGCATGTTTAAAGTTGCAACACATAGATCGGGACATGCCCTGGACTGGGTGGTTAGTACACTGGTTACACGACAAGATGATTAACGGTATTGTACAAAGTGTAACGGTAGTGGACGGAGACTTTTGTCTGACCAGTCAGTGGTAGTGCTTGTACTTAACTGTCAGAGTCAACCACACAATTCCAACACCAGATCATGTCGTAATCTGAAAAGATTGACAAGGCAAAAGTTCAGTGAGATTGCTGCTTCGGATCTTCTCCTACAGCCTGTGTTTGATACATTGAGGACTTGGACAAACCAGTATAATGGCACACGCTTCTTCATATTCTAGACTATCATGCCCTCTCAAAACTAGAACTTTCATTCAAAGCCCCAGGATGTCCATGGTACAACAGCGATATACACCAGGCAACACAGAAAGTAACGCCAGGTGGAACGAGCGTGGCGTAAGTCAAAACTCGAGATTGACAAATATCGTCTGTGAGGGGTAAAGTGTCGTAAACCCATTCAAGAAAGCAAACGCGCATACTGCAGACAACAGATTGTTGATCTTGCTAACAAACCCACGTCATCTTCAGAAATTCTTGAACTCTCATGGGTGGGAAAACTGAGGTAATCTTGCCGACATCAGCTACTGCTTCTGGAACTAGTTGAACAATTCAATACTTTCTTTGATTCTAAAATCAAAGATATCCGGAATACTCTTCTCCAAAGGCTCCCAACAGGTCATGCACCAGGAGGAAATGCCGCGTTTAAAGGAACTCTACTGGTTGACTTCCAACCCTTTACAGTATCTGAAGTTCGTGCTCTGATCAAGACAGCCTAACGTTACTACATGTCGAGAGTGATCCAGTCCCAGGTCAGCTTGTAGTGGAGCATCTCGACATATTACTACCGACCATCACTGATATCATCAATAAAAGCTTGTCGTCAAGGGCATTTCCAAAATTGTTGAAAGATGCTATTGTTGAAAGCCTTTCATCAAGAACGAGAAACTGGATTCAAATGTCATGAAAAGCTACAGGCCAGTTTCTAACCTCTCCTTCCTGTCCAAGTTAGTTGATTGAGAGAGAGCCGCCATAAAACGGCTGATGAGAGACATCTGTCAATCAACAACATATTGGACTCTTTTCAATCTGCATACCGACAGCATCATTCCCTGAAACCTTACTGCTGAGACTGGTCAATGATCTTAGATGTATCCGTGGATAGTGGAAATATGGCTATAATTGGTACTTTTGGACTTAAGTGCAGCATTCGATACAGTCGATCATAAGAAGCTGCTACATACTCTGGAACCCTCACGTTGGAATAGGTGGTACTGCTCTGTCAAGGCGTTCCTCTTACCTGACAGACAGAAGCCAGACGGTGTTAGTTGGCTGATAATCTCCAAGAAGTCCATTATATCGTGTGGTGTCCCTCAAAGGCTCCGTTATGGGACCTGTCCCTCTTCCTCCTGTATATATGAATCAACTTTCTGTCATCATGATATCCTTCCATACCTCCCCACTACTCTGATGCTGACGATACCCAACTGTAGAATACCTTTACACCAGATACAGCAGCAGCTACTTTCAAGAACATTGAAAACTGCACAGCCAAGATAAAAACATGGATGACAAGTAGAGTTTTAAACTGAATGATGATAAAACTAGCAGAGTACAATGTATTACCTATTGGCAGATCACAACAATTGAAGAAGATTATCACAAAGTGATAGTATAACAATAGGTTCCTTACAGGTTGCCTTTTCTCCTTTGATGATGAAGGATCTTGGCGTATGGCTAGAGTCGGATCTCGCCATGGATGTACATATCGACAGACTTTGTCAAACCTGCTATTTCCATTTGCGCAGGATTTGGAACATCCGGAAGTACATCACAAAAGAAAGTGGGAAGGTTCTAGTCAGATGTCTAATTTCCTCCGGACTAGGTTATTGCAACGGACTGCTTGTAGGTCTTAACAGGTTCAGCTTAAAAAACTGCAGAACATACAGAATACGGCCAAAATCATGTCACATTACTCCAGTTCTCAAAGAATGTCATTAGCTCTACCAAAGCCTCACAACCAAGCCACATCCTACCTCACAGACTTGATCACTGTATACACACCAGCCAGAACTCTTCGATCTCAGAACCAGCTCCTACATAATGTACCAACTTTCCGACTTTGGTAAACGATCGTTCTTTCATGCAGCCCCAAGACTATAGATTCATTGCCAGTCCACATCAAAGACTCTGATTCTCTGACAGCTTTCAAATCACGACTTAAGACTTACCTTTTCTTTCTGTATATGCTTGATCTCTCTCTCTCTCTCTCTCTCTCTCTCCTCTCGCTTTGAGCATGCACTTTGTATACACTATTGTGGATTGTAGCGCAGCAAACAAATGTCCATTATTATTATTATTTATAATGGGTTACTGAAGAACAATTCTAGCTCGGATCTTCACGGGTTGTAGAAAGAACGGTCACGACAGTGTATGTTGGAGGGTGAAACTAAAACACTTATGAATGTGTAACAGAAACACGATAAGAAAACAATATATTTGTTGCTGATATTTCATTGAAGCGCTCGTCGTCAACTATCATGAAAAGCCAATCAAAATGAACCACATTACCTCCCTTTAGTACCGACTTTCAGTCACAGAAATCAGACAATGACTAATTGCACTTCTAACAGATCACACACTCACTAACACACCGCCCGTACTATTGTCCTCTCTGTCGAACTAAAAACCGAATGCCGCAGATAAATTAATAAATTCACTGTAAAGTATATTTCATTAGTGATATATATACTTTTTATTGATTTCACTTTGCATCAGTTGTTGAATGTTTGAAACCGAATTGTTACCTTCGATGACAATTCGATAGATAGTTTGTCATTCGATAGATAGTTTGTCATTCGATATATAGCCAGTGATTGCTGACTGTTAGTGGGAACGCCAGGAGACAAGTGTTGACACAGTACCTTGATGTGACGATCGATCAATAACGATACTTATACTGTATGGCTGTTATAATACTGATTTTTTAGGCTCGCGTGTCTTAGGGAGTTTCATTTTACAATTTAATGACAATTTGTGTCGATTTTCTTCTTGTTTCTCGGCTGTGTTTGACTGTTATTTCGATATTTTAACCAAATGGAAAGTAGAAAAACTACATCAAATTTTTTAGATATGTCAAGTCTGCTTGTACAAAATCAACTTGGTACAATCATGTATGTCTTAAGTGTTATTGAAATAATTAACCAAAGAATAATGATGGACAATGCAGCTGATCATGAGTACAAAACAATACTTGTGTCATATACGAATATAAAATAAGAACACGAAGGTAACAGGCATAAGTAAGTATTGATAGTAACGATTGCTGGACTATTTACTTTAGGATGTGTAATACAGTATGCATGAACCTATCTGTTACGTCCACTGTTTTTCATTAGGTTTTCAACCTAGGCCGTCTGGTTACCGAGTACAGCATCCGTGAGTATTGGCTTACACTGAAATATCATATGCAACCTTCGCGTGTCTTCGCCCTGTGCTTTTTCTGAAATGGACGTTATGAAAAAGGACAGATGAAAACCTGTTATTTCATTGCATTAAATATAAATTACATTCAATAAGAGCCGCCGCTATATACCTGGAATATTGCTGAGTGTGGCGTAAAAATAAACCCACTCATCACTGTTACGACAAAGGTAGACCCGGGGTCATGTTTAACAAAATCGTATTTCCTTCATGGGCAGCCAACGCATAGAGTATTCAGAGTTGTCTCCCGTTAATACATCTTTGTTGGTGGAGATTCATAAATCCAACTCGTTTTCCAGAAACGATATTGCAAGCTTTTATCATAAAACAAATGAAAAAGTTACATTTTGTTGAAGTTTGATCCACGAAATGGGCAATACTGCCAGTAGTGACAGCGAAGATGAAGTACGTGTTGACAACAAAGAGGTTTGACAATTTACACGCTTATTTGTATACAGTAGTCTACATACAGTAAGGTAACTGCGAGTTGCTTGTTCTGACGAGGAAGTTCCGGAAAAGTTACATTACAAAATATAGATCTGCAGTGTCTGACTGGAATAACATTTAAATATGTTTATTTGTAAGCCAAAGGTTAATTAGATAAAATATTATGCCAGTTGATATAAGGACTCATTTTACATTTTTCACACCAACAATTTGACCATCAGAAATGTGAATATCATCATGATTACAGTGACAGTGCAACCAAGGACATATATGTCCATGGCTTGGTATTACATAAACGATGCATTTGATTGGCAGGGACATACTATGGTTTACTGTTTCTTGACAATTCTACATATGTAAAGGCTTAAGATCCTGTGATTTTGGAAATGCTTCTCATAGTCTGAAGCCTGTTTCAAATGAAATTTGGGAGACAGTGCACTTTATTGGGCACACTTTTTGGATTGCATTTAGTGTTGTGTGGATGATCGAAGTCACTTTGTCAGCTCAAAGCTAAGCATGGTAAATGACTTAACCTAAATAGCAAGCACCCTATCATGTTACCATGAAACTGCTTTCTTGTCAGAATTTTTGTTTGGTGTAGTCCTCTCATTATAACAGTTCATAGTGGAGTAGGGGAAAATGTCCACAGCACAAAATAAAACATCTACTTCAACAACCTGATCACTAACAATTTGATTTGACTGGTTGTTGCTGTGACTGGTTTGCGATTTATGCTACGACAACTGTAAACACATTTGAGAGTATAAGGGGACATCATCCACATTGATCAACAAAGATGACACCCATTTTATGCTTGGCATTTAAAGGGAAATGTTGGCATCTTTGTGTGGTGCATTGGTAAGATGCTTGACAAAGGATATTGATAAGTCACTTGCTTGGTTGTTTGTGATTACACTATTTAGACATGTGAAAAAACCCATATGATTATACCTGAACATAGCTTATCAATATTAATTCATATGTGTCTGTTGACTTTCATAATTAATAAAATCCCATAATATTCAGTAATTTTCCGCATTGGTTGTAAATCATATTTTATACATACATTCCAACAATGAAAAGGCTTGGAAAACATCAATTTAGTATAGTTTGTCTCGCATCAAAGAACTACCTAATGATGGTGTAAATGAAGGAGAATGTTTCTGTTCAGTGGTTAAACAAATCAATGAAAACAAAGTGTAAGTATTGTAAATTACAACTGACAAAAATGTATGTATAATATCCGGCATTCCAGTCAAAAAGTCCTAAATTTGCCTAGGTACAAAAAATTAAAAAATTTAATCTGTCATTATATGGGATTTATTCATGTTTATTTTTTAAATGTGTGATGTCAAATAAATAACGAAATCAGTAAAAAGGACTTTTTTACTGCTACATTTTTACCAAGGACTTTTGTCCTATAATCTAATATCCACCAGTTACTTTGTTCATGGAATATATCTGTCAATATCCACAGAAAAGAACAACACCCTATTCATCTTAAGCTGTACAAAGAAACATGTTCTATGTCACATGTCTTTGTGACAATCGAATATTGTAAAATAACTTGTCATCATTTCTTAACTCTGTGTGTGTGTGTGTATGTGTCTGTCTGTCTGTCTGTCTGTGTCTGTGTTGGTCAACTGAGATAGCACAAATTACTACTATTTTTGTGGATGAAGGAAAACTAAGTTCTATGGATAGTCTGCTTCACCTATACAACTTCTAAAATGCCTCTCAAAGACGATATTTTCATGATGTCCACCGTTTAACAACGATCAGTTTAACAACGATCTAAACCTTTTAGCAGAATACTGTATATTAGGGTCATAACAGACACCCTAATAACAAAACAAAGCAAACAGATTAGCTGTCTGTTCATTATAAGTGTGTTTGTGATAAACATGAATAACTCTAAGCCAAATTATGAACGTGTTCCAATTACTTTAGTAAACCTACATACAGAACACATACTTTTGTCAAATCTACTGTGCAAGATAATAATGATTAATCAATCTGCATATTGATAATTCATCCTTTGATTATAGTTATTTGTAACCCAACTGATGATTCCTATCTTGTAGTGCTTCAGTGTGCGCATTATGTAACATGTAATACATTCACCACATCAGACCTGCATTTATGGAGTTGAGTAATCACAACAGACACGGGAAATGCCTAATGGGAACCTTTGGCAGGTAATCTGAGTGGTGTTACCAGTGATTATGCCTGTAATACATTCATTATAACTGTGTGTCAAGTGAATAACAAGTAAACAGGTGTTGGTTTTTATCACCAAACATGGAGGACAACCAGGGTATCGTTGTATTGTATGCAATTTAGTTTCCTGAAAAACGTATTGGTCGTTGCATTTTGAGAATAGGAACAGGATTTCATTGCTGCAAAAGTAATATGCCCACATATTTGCTGTATACTGACTATTGAACACGCTCATTCATACAACTGATAATGTTTTGATTTGTATGTTATAGGGTTGTAACGATGCATCTAACTATCGATGGATTGCGGTTGTTGAGTCTCCGATAGCAATTAAGCGATTTTAGAAACAAAAAGCTATCGATAGTATGTGTGACTATCAATAGTTTAGTAATTGACTTTCGTGGATAAATGCTCAGCGCAAAATACAGGATGTACGGTACCAGATTCGTTTACTTTGATTTATAGTTTTCCACCCCTGTTACCTCTTAAAGAAACTTGATCTGGGTTTCAAGTGTCTTGTCAGTTATTTAAAGAGATTTAAACTACTTCAGCTTATTTTTATTTCATATGAACTACACATGTATTTAGGAAATGACTTCACATGAGACAATTCAAGCAGAGGAAGAAAACTATTGCAATAGTATTGCAATAGTTTGTCGCAATAGTATGTTGCAATAGACTATTGCTATCACAATAGTTGTTTCCCCCTCAATAGTCACCCCTAGTATATTATAGATACTTACCTTGACAATGAGTAACTTCTGATATATTGTGATATTTTATTCTAAATAAGTTGTAAATCCTGACATTTCATGTTTTCCACAAAGAGAAATATGGCACTGAAATAAGTTTCAGTTTGATGAGAGTGCAGTAGCTTTCTAAGTTTCTTGCAGTTGATTCCTTTTTTCTTGACATGCAAAAGAGAAATGCCCCAGACAATCAAGCCACAAAAGTAATTTGTGACGGCACATGGTAATCCTTTTTTACAGTTTGAACACAAAGACTTTTATTTTCATGATGATTAGGCATTCAAATTTCTTTAAAATACTTAGAATTTACTTATACGAACGTGTTTGACCAGGCTCAGTGTTTCCGACTCTCGTGTTTATCTATTTATAGGTCGATGATGGCTATTCTGACAGTGAAGCAGAAACTGGTGAGTATAGTTTCTTTCATGTTCTTAACATCCAGTAATATTAACAATTATTAACCTTCCTCTGCTGGTACATAAAGGGAATTGTCTTGTGTTCAGACTGCGTTAACTCGTATAGTTGTTCCTGACATCATACAGTGTATTATGTCTCCTTTCTGTTCAGGTAAATACTAGGGTTTCTGTTTGTTACCCAATATTCCTGATATGTGTGTCATGTTCTTCTCATAGTGGATTCACTGCAGCCCTAGTAAATACCCTGGGCCTAGGCATAGCTTATGATTATCATGCATATCAAATATGTCTCCTGTATCATGTTTACAGCCCCAGAGAATGTATGTTACACCTTGATTAGTCATGTCAAAGGTCAAGGTAAAAATCAGAAAATATTACCACATACAGGCATCGATATCCAGTCTTTTTAAGGGTGCAGTTGGGCACCAGACGTATAATTTAGGTGTGTGAAAAGAAAGTGTGCCCATACCTTTTCATGATCCACTTAAACTTAAAACATCACAAAAATTATGTCATTTCAATGTAATGTGTAATAAATCAGTAAACATCATGTAAACCTATAAAATTTAAGAGCAAGATTTACTGAACACTATGATGACTGCAATAAAAGTTCTGCTTCATTTGTCCTGGACCAATAAAGTCACCCACAAACTATGTTATCATCCCAAATGGTATTTCCTGTTATAGACACTGGCATTCGAACATTCCACGATTATTATAAACTGAGAGATTGAGAGTGCCTCCAATAAACAGTTTGATGGGGTGCAAAAGGTTTTGAATCATCTAAGCTCGTCAAATATATCACAATTTCCATAAAATGAATCATAGTGAGTATTATTTTTATAATTTTAGTTGTTTAGTTGCAAGGGCACATAGGATTTTTTCAATATGTACTGTGCACTATTTCAATCACTTCAATTGATATATCACAAGATTAGGTCAATAAAACTACACACATGTCATCTATGTTCTTGGTGGGTTAACATTATGAGAAGCCATTTAGTAAAGTCAAGGTCACTGTGAAGGTATATTACACTATTATTTCACTTGCTTCACTTAATGTGTTTTCGTGCAGATGTTCTTGGTGCTTAACAACATAACAACCATCATATCAATCTCCAAACAGTTCAACTGTTCTACTGTAGATTATGTTGTATTTATTGAATCCCACCCAGGGACATCATGTTTGGTCAATATTCTTGACCATGTTGATAGCCTTTGGCCGTGTTGATTTTGGTTAAATTCACCCTGAACATGCTCATATGAGTATTATGTTCATGATAACTGAAGAGGATTTCACTGTAGTAGGATCACATTTGGTACACATCATCATGATAATCTTAATATCGAAAAGATCTGATCCTGATCTTAATGGGTACTAGCTGCGATAGTAAAATATGACCAATACCCTATGACATTCAAGTTTAATTTTGAAGACTGCATTGTCTTGTTACTTGTTATAAGAACATAGGACAGTGTATATATGCATTCTATGTAGTATGTTATGGTGATGATATGTATACAAATTACTACACAAATTGTATTCAGTAAATTCTGAATATAGCACCTACTATGAACTTGGACATGGTGAATGTTATACCTGTGTTTACTGGTGATGAAACATATTAACATACCATGTCCCATACACATTTACTGAACTTTACAGACAACATCATGTCAAATATGTACGTTGTTATGTTTATTACAATTAGTCGCTTTCATGAATCCATTATTGTTGGTCATGTATGACTGAACATTCACCTGTTACATATTTTATGCAATTTATCAATTTTAGGCCAGACCAATTTTATTGCTTGTCCATTTTATTGCTTGTCATGTTTTTTCAAGAATAAGAAAAAAGAAGTTAATTTTCCCCACTCAAAAAATAAAATCCTAATGTTTTTCTTGGCCAAAAATGTAAACCTTACAAGAAATTTTGTTTGTAGATTGTTTTTTGCCCCATATAATTTTCATAAATTGCCAAAAGTAACATACTTTGAGTATTTAGAAGGAATATTACTTTGACTGGTGATTTTATTTTTTTTTTTTTTCCCTCCTGCCTTTAGGTTTTCTGAGGACAATATTCCGTAAAACAAGAATAAAATTGGTCTGGCCTTACCAGTCAATTAATTCTTGATTTATAATCTTTTATCAGAAAACTATGTTATTACTAGTAAGTACAGTCATAATAACAATATGCCCAATGTTAGCTTATGCCAAATTCTTCTTATCCCCTATCTTCAAGTTTTCTATAATAAGAATTCTTTTTCAGAAGAAGTCCTCCTTGGGGTACATATATGCATTAAAATGTCCATTTCAAATCCCACGACTGTTATAACTATATTTTTCAATAAAATATTTACAAAACAAAAAACTTGTGAGACCACCCCTACAGGGCCCCACCGGACCCCCCTACAGCCAAGAGCAGGTAACTCTCGCTGTCTACCTCGTACCTCACATTTCATGCTGTCATTCTGTTGAATTGACGTGCGTGGTGTTCGTTTCGAGTTTACTCTCCTACCGATACGATGAGTGTAAAAGAGTCTCAATCTGTATGTATGGTTCCTTTCTTTACGCACGGGCGTTAGATGGACTTCATATGTTGATATTCTCATTCATCCTTTGTTGTAACTTTGCCGTGGGTTCTCTGTTTTCCAGCCTTGTGGCAGGCAAAATGGCGGACTGCGCGATCGTGGTTTCCTTGCTACATGTTCTTGGTAGCTTGTAATAGCGAGTTCATATATTATGTTTGCATATTATATGGTAGGCTTGCCTAAATTCTCTCAGTTTTCAGCGAATTTGTGGTAAGTCGTTGTTGAGTAATTTTGATAAATAAGAGTGTTTGTTTCGTGTCACTCAACTTTACTCACTAGTATGTACACGCAGGTGCGGCTAGCCTTTTTTCTGCTTTGCATTGTATGTTTAGTATTTAAATGGCTGTTGCTTGTAGCATTTAAATATCGCCTGTGCGTTTTATTTATTGCTATTTACTTGTGTTTATATGTTTGCTGCTTCACAGTTCCTGCTTGTAACACTGGCGTGGTTCTGTTTGTTGCAGTTTAAGCCCTGTGTGTTGTGCTGTGCACACTACCGCCACAGGATGGTCATAAGGTGTGCCTCCGGTGGTTAGCCGAGGATGCTCACGACGAGCAAGGATGTTCATAATAAGAGCCCTTGCGTCAATATTCCTGTTACATTATGTTGTGTTATGTTACACATATGCACATTTCATACGTTTACACACAACGTGGCTCATAGTGGCCGAGGTTGTGTTTTTTGCCTGGGTTTCTGCGCCTCACACGCATTCTTTCAGGCACGCAGATTTTATGTTTTTCACTAATCTGCTTCAGGGGGGGGATAATTTTTGATGAAAGGTTCCAAAGGAAATCCCTTTATCGTCCCCCCCCGCCTACTCCCCCACAAACAATGTTGCTACATTAACGATGGATTTCTTACTTATAGCAGCAGCGGAGATCGTCGGTGCACGCTCTTATCTCAGACGTGGTTTCCAGACTCCGAGAGGAGATTGGTACCCGGTCTACGGGTAGAGATTACACCGGCGCATCATTTGGGGGAGGTCCCGACCCGAGCTCCGGCTCCGGGGACGCTCTGAACCTGGGGACTAGCATCGACCCGGGCTTTGGCCCCGTTACGGCGCAGATCTCCGACGTCGGTACCTCAGGTCTTAGCCTGATGTCTATCGACGCCCAGGCCAGGAGGCTGTTGAGTGTGACAGAGCTACCGAGCTGCCGATCACCTCGACACTCCAAGGTCTACCCATGTTCACCAGGGGAACCCTGCATTGCCAGGCTACACCCATGTGTCTCGGGCCGGGGTTCGGACTCTCTGAACCTTGGGGACTAGCACCGGCGCGGGCTTTGGCCCCGGTACGGCACAGGTCCCCGGCGTCGGTACTTTTCAAGTATATCGTCTCTCTCACTTCACTTGACGGCTTTACTTGTGGTGGTGAGTTCTGGTGGAAGGGTCAGGTACATCCATGCAATACCCACTGACCCGACACTGACAGTATTTGTACTGATCATGTCCGTATTTGCCTCCCGGATACCTACCACTCTCAGTTCGATATTGCTTTACACGTGACTGCTCATATCGAACTTCCACCCCTTACCCAGCCTTCGATAGCCTGATTGCTCACCCGTTGGAGTGACTGTAACGAACGAAAGGGATCTGTACGGGTACCCATGTGTTCGGTTTGGTGGCGGGGAGACTGGGGAGTCTGCTAGCAAGCGGACATTATCTCGTTGGCTTGTTTCCATAATTGTTCGGTTACAATGCTAAGGTTTACCTTCCCCCTATTACCGTCTTGACACGAATTCTAAGGATCGTGCTCGGTTCGGTCTTTCGGTACTCTCCAGTGGAGAGTGTCCTGCCACCCTGACCAAGTTAGTAACTGGTCATTGGTATCAGTTCTGTGTTCAATGTCGATATGGTTCATACCAATACATCGTGTAAGCCTTACCACCCTTTCGGGTTGGGTCGGGTTTGGGTGTACATACATCCCTTACTTAAAGGCAAGAGAGGGCGGGCCGATTTTGAATGCTTTAACCAGTCATATGCTATTAACCCGTCTTGCGACGGAATTGGGTACGAACCCCCTACGGGTCACTGTTTGGTATGCCTCTCTTTGAGCCGCATGTCACGTGACCAGGTTAGTGTAATGTTCGGCTACGCTTTTTGCTATTCAGGGGATTTTTGTACGCCAACAGGTTTTTCCCTCTTCCTGAGACTTCGGTAATTGGGAGCCTGTGTTAATCAGCACTTTTGATGATTGTGGTTTACACTTACCGAGAGCGTTTGGTGGGGGTGTTTTATCCTGCTTTTCACTCGTACAATACATGGCATTTGTACTCATTCGTTTTTCTCAGAAAGTTTTTAGCGAAGCTAATAATTTCTCTGGGTTTTATCGAGGTCCCGGCAAGCCCTCTTCCAAACAGGAGGGGTGCATTCGAGCATTAGTTTGCAGTACTTATTAGCTCAACTCCTGGGTTATTGGCCTTTGAGCATTTTTTACGCTTTCCCTACCCTTATACCTCTCGCCACGCTTCTCTGGTTCGGGCTATTAAGGTTGGGAGTTGTTTCGGCATCTCCCCATACATTCCTTTCCATTGTAATGGTTGGGGGTGGGGTTTTATGTCATTGATTTGAGCCAATTGACGTATAAGCTTGGGCTCTCTATTTCCAGCCCTAGCCACGTCCCTGCCTGATTGACATCAGCGGTCAGGTGGCTCGGTAACTGTGTTTTTTCTATTTCCGTATCAGTTGTAGATTTCACTCCACCCCGGGTTTAGTTGTTGCCAGACAGAATGCCACTCCCGTCTCACATATCTTTGGGAGTCTGTCATATGCTTATATGTACCCCAAGGAGGACTTCTGATGAAAAAGAATTATACAAACCTGTAGAGGTTATGAATTCTTTGAAGAAAGTCCTCCTTGGGGTACGGCCACCCGCCTCCCCTCATTCTGTCTGATACGTTCAGCATGAAAAGTGAGGTATGAGGTAGATGGCGAGACTTACCTGCTCTTGGCTGTAGGGGGGTCCAGTGGGGCCCTGTAGGGGTGGTCTCTCAAGACAAATCAATTTTTTTGTTTTGTAAATATTTTATTGAAAAATATAGTTACAACTGTTGTGGGATTTAAAATAGACATTTTAGTGCTTATATGTACCCCAAGGAGGACTTTCTTCAAAGAATTCATAACCTCTACAGGTTTGTATAACTTTTTATGTGAGTGTGAGTGAGTGAGTTTAGTTTTACGCCGCACTCAGCAATATTTCAGCTATATGGCGGTGGTCTGTAAATAATCAAGTCTGGACAAGATAATCCAGTGATCAACAACATGAGCATCGATTTACGCAATCGGGAACCGATGACATGTGTCAACCAAGTCAGCGAGCCTGACCACCCGATCCCTTTAGTCGCCTCTTACGACAAGCATGGGTTACTGAAGATCAATATTCAAACCCGGACCTTCACTGGTCAACTTTTTATGTAAGCTCACACACTACTCATCATCATCTACTCATCATCTTCATATACAATTTTTTCTGTTGAAGACGACCAGTTATTAACTGATGTGGCTGATTTCAACATTGTGTCTCCATGTAGGCAGTGTGTGGCATGATGGCAGCAGCAGATGATATATGATGTTGAATGATGTTTATCTACAGACATGATCAATATGTTAGTTGGGCAGTCTGTGCAGTGGAACAGCTGGATGTCCTGTTGCCATGGTTATTGGAGTTAGACATGATTAAGGGATGGTGACTCAAGCGTGTTAGAGTGAGCAAGTGTTAACATTACAGATAACAGACCTATCATTGTATCAACATGATCAACTGAGAGTCTTTGATTGGCATTTAGAACTTGAAAGAAAGCGAAGGCTAGAAATATTTGTGGAAAATCTTTTCACGTGTTTGTAGTTGTAATGACCTTTCCAGGCTGCCTCTTGTCCCTTCATCGGGTGAACACTGAGTACTTGTGTTGAGTTCTTATATATAAGGAAAAATGTATAAAGAAACTCCGAACATAAAGACGCAACATGAATACCTGTAGACAGGACGCTTGTAGGCGCATCTTGAAGGTTTGGATGGTCGGTGACTTGGCAGTCAAAGTAAACTTAGGCTCAGTATTATTCGTTACACGGCTATACTGAGTCTAACAAAACCTTATGGAAGGTCGCGTCAGCTAACCTTTTCAATTGACCAATCAGAACACAGCTTACCAAATCGCGAAAGCTGACATTTCCACATACCTTTTGAACTTTTACCTCGAAAAGGTTTTGTACCCGAACGATTCCGAATGCTATTTTCCGTACGATCGCTTCCGAGCGATGCACATAAAGCACGCCACAACAGTGACTAAACAGTCACAGAAAATAGCGTTTTGTCAGTATTCAAGGATGTCAGCTTGCGGAAATATTAGCTAATGATAGCCATGTCAACAGAAACCCAAAAGTGTATATTCTGCAGGTCATATATCTGTGTTTTATGCGGGTTTTCATTTGTTGTGAGATCAGTGTTGGTGACCGGGGAAGAGAAAATCCATTTTGTTAGTCCCTAAATAGTAGCTGTTGTCTAATTGGTTAAATCCGTTCGGTCGTCTCGCGTTTGATTGGACGGTCATAGGTCGCTCAAAGGTTAGCTGACGCGACCTTCCATAAGGTTTTGTTAGACTCAGTATAGCAGTGTAACGAATAATACTGAGCCTAAGTTTACTTAGACTGGGTGACTTGTGTGAGGGTGTGTCATCATACCCCGACGACAGGGAACATGGCTTGTAATATCAAATGCTGGACTTCTTGTTTCAGGCTTGAGTTACATGATTACGTCATAAAGCAGGAATATTGCTGAGAACAGTATTAAACACAAACACCATGGTTTCTAGGCTATAATCAGAACAACTAGCCTATCCTTGTCAAATAAAATATGTACCTTATGAACTTGATGTTTGTCCTTGTGCCTTGTGTGATCAAGTGACTCAGTGAGATATGTTTCATATTTGATGTGCTGATAAAAGCCACATGCCGTCTGTTTATTAAGTTGGAAACATTCAACATTTTGAAGAAGGAAGTTATTTGAGCATATTGTACGCTGTGAAAACATGTGAATAAATTACTTCTTGTCAACAACATGTATTTGTTTGTTTGAAGGAGACAAAGATGGTCCCTCACTCACAGACCTCCACGCTCTCTTCAATGAACCAGGGCTACTACGATCAGTTGCATCAAAAATAAAGTAAGCTGAGAAATATGCTGGCTACCTATTGGGAAGGGAACTGCTTATTATATTATTTGTGTTAGTGTGTGTGTGTGCTTGCGTGCGTGCATGCATGTGTGTGTGTGTGCATGCATGTGTGTGTGTGTGCGTGTATAATGTCTATTTGTCTTACATTGAATGTGTTGACATACTTAATGCCCTGATTAGAGTAATTATGTTGAATATGTTGATGATGTAGAGTTTCAAGATGTGCATCTGATGTTTCTAGAAAAAATATTGTTTACCTCCAGAAAAATAATTAATTAATCTTGAACGTGGCATCATACCTTGTCACTTCACCTTGGCGTGTATGATGGGTTGTGTGTTTTTGCTTGTGTACTGTGATGTCATACTACCTGTTATGAGGACTCAATCCCTGATAATGTGATCCTCCAGTAACACAGTGGGTTGTGTTTGTTGTTTGTGTACTGTGATGTCATACTGCCTGTTACAGGGACCCAATCCCTGACAATGTGATCCACCAGTACCACAGTGGGTTGTGTTTGTTTTTGCTTGTGTACTGTGATGTCATACTACCTGTTATGAGGACTCGATCCCTGACAATGTGATGCTCCAGTACCCCAGTGGGTTGTGTTTGTTTTTGCTTGTGTACTGTGATGTCATACTACCTGTTACAGGGCCCCGATCCCTGAGTATGTGATCTTCTAGGTTGTGTGTGTTTTTACTTGCGTACTGTGATGTCATACTGCTTGTTACTGGGACCCGATCCCTGACAATGTGATCCTCCAGGATGTGTGTGTTTTGCTTGTGTACTTTGACGTCATACTGCCTGTTACAGGGACCCAATCCCTGACAATGTGATCCACCAGTACCACAGTGGGTTGTGTTTGTTGTTTGTGTACTGTGATGTCATACTGCCTGTTACAGGGACCCGATCCCTGACAATGTGATCCACCAGTACCATGGCCACATCATCCGGTGGCTCCGAGAGAGGCAGGACAGAATGGAGGTGGGTCATGAACTGAGCACACGGTTAGCTGAATGTCAGTAGTACCGGTAGTTGGTATTGGCCATCTCCAAGTTGGCAGAAGCACCCTGTAATCCTGTTTTGATATAACCTAATTTGAGAAATCCTTTTGATAGATTGAGAACACATTTCCACAATAAGTGGACCATGTTCCCTGCTAATTCGTCAGAACACAGAGAAATACATTTTGTGTTGGTATTTTTAAGATGATTAGTTTTGATACCAGTTATTGTGCTGTTTGCAGGAGAATGTCACACTGAGCCAGTTTTGTGACATGCTGATGGCAAAAGGAGTGTCCAGAAATGAGGTTGTGAAGGTAAGCTATGAGTCGTGTTCAACACTTTTTGTAAACGATTTGATGTGATTTCTGTGTAACTCTTTTGCATGAGGTTTGGACTGAAAAATAGGCATTGGAGTTTCAATTGAACACAAAGTACATTATCTCTCTTAACCCTGCAACTGTTGTACTGATGAAGTGTTCCTCCCAACCCCACTGCTGTAATGATGAAGTGTTCCTCCCTGTCCTCCCAACCCTTCTGTTGTACCAATGAAGTGTTCCTCCCTGACCTCCCAACCCCACTGTTGTACTGATCAAGTGTTCCTCCCTGACCTCCCAACCCCTACTGTTGTACTGATCAAGTGTTCCTCCCTGACCTCCTCCCTAACCTCCCAACCCTGTTGTGTTCCTCCTGACCTCCCAATGAAGTGTTCCTACCCCCTGACCTCCCAACCCCGCTGTTGTACTGATCAAGTGTTCCTCCCCCTGACCTCTCAACCCCCAACCCTGTTGTACTGATCAAGTGTTCCTCTCCTGACCTCCCAACCCTGCAACTGTTGTACCAATGAAGTGTTCCTCCCTGACCTCCCAACCCTCCTACTGTTGTACTGATGAAGTGTTCCTCCCTGACCTCCCAACCCTGCTGTTGTACTGATGAAGTGTTCCTCCCTGACCTCCCAACCCTGCTGTTGTACTGATGAAGTGTTCCTCCTCCCTGACCTCCCCATGACCAGGCTGTTGTGTACTAATGAAGTGTTCCTCCCTGACCTCCCAACCCTGTAACTGTTGTACCAATGAAGTATTCCTCCCTGACCTCCCAACCCCCTGCTGTTCCTCCTGACCTCCCAACCCTGCAACTTTGAAGTGTTCCTCTCAATGCAAGTGTTCCTCCTGTTCTCCTGACCCTCCCAACCCTGCTGTTATACCAATGAAGTGTTCCTCCTGACCTCCCTAATGAAGTGTTCCTCCCTGACCCCCTGCTTGTACTAATGAAGTGCTGTGCTGTTGTGCCTAATGAAGTGTTCCTCCTGTAATGTACTGATGAAGTGTTCCTCCCTGACCTCTCAACCCCGCTGCTGTTGTACTAATGAAGTGTTCCTCCCTGACCTCCCAACCCTGCTGTTGTACTAATGAAGTGTTCCTCCCTGACCTCCCAACCCCGCTGTTGTACTAATGAAGTGTTCCTCCCTGACCTCCCAACCCCGCTGTTGTACTAATGAAGTGTTCCTCCCTGACCTCCCAACCCAGCTGTTGTTGTACTGTTGAAGAAGTGTTCCTCCCTGTCCCCAACCGGTGCTTTATTGTATTGATAAAGTGTTCTTGTGATCCATGACACAAATGGTATTTGATGGAGTGTTTGCCTGCAATCCCCAGTATTGTTCTGATTGAGAGTGTTCCTTCCTGACCCCTGGATGTTGTACCAAGAAAGTGCTGATGCCAACTGTAATGTTGTGGTACTGATGAAGTGTTCTTTCTGGTCAGGCGTTCCAGCAATTTGACACGGATGGCAGTGGTGTTGCCGAAGTGTCAACCATGATGGATGCCCTGTCCACCTTCTCTTCCGGCAACGTCATGGGAGAGTTAGGGAAGAACATCCGGATGCTCCAAGCCTGCTCTCTCACAGCAGGTTAGACATGTAGATACACAGATTGATTCAAACTGCTTCTTTTCTACTTGACTCTGTTTTATACTTGTACATTATATTTTATTTCATTTGACTAGACTAACTACCATCCGAAGAAGAAAATCTGAAATGATAAACAAAAGTGTAGGTGCATGATTAAACTCAGCACATATACATTGTTTTGATGGTCTGCATGTCTCCCCATCAAACTGATTCAGATGGACATTTTGAACTCATAGCAAGCCCAGTATGTATATTTGTCAAGTTTTTGTGGAAAATAATGTTCAGATATTTAAAAGTAAGGAAAGATACATGTTCATTTCTCTGATCTACTATCTTGTGATAGTTATCACCTGCAGAGTGTGATGGCTTCAGTGTTTCCCTTCTCTGTCCCTGTAACCATGGTGACATCTGTCTGTGTGCAGGGTTTGTGGATGTGTATGCAGGAGACAAGAACCCCATGAGTCGCCATGGAGAGAAGATCCTCAAGGTATGCACATACACACTATATGTACAGGCTTGAAAACTAACTGTAAATAGTTGAAGATTTGGCATGGTTAGGGCAACGGTTGACACTAGCACTTATCCCAATTTAGTTTTTGTTAAAGGATTAGTGAAATTCATTAATATCTTGTTATTTTTGGACCAACAAAGTAATGTAAGTTTGTAATCTAACTTCTGTCAGTGGTAGATGACTCTCAACTCTAAGCAAACCCAGCAGCCTAAACAACCCTGTGTGGTACACTGGTTATTCTTGAATGGGTTTTCACTCTACTTTAATTACTTGTTACATGATCAAGTTTCTGTAACACAAGAAGGGATCACATGGACATGGTGTACACTCTGTCCTGGATAGTTGAAAAGTTTAACACAACCAAACTCCAAACAAAGTTGAATTGCAGACTAATGCAATCTCTGAACATGCTGAAGTTAACCAGCTGTAACTTGTCTCTTATTACTGCCATTTTCGGCTAAATATTGACCTTTTAGAATAAGGATGAAGTAATACCAGTTTAAACCTTTTTTAGGTCAGCACCATTGTGTCTTGAGGTCCAACTTGGCCAGTCAATGTTTTATGTGAGGTGCCCTTTGGAGCACGGTCCAGTAGTGGACAGTGTCAAACACTGGTTTAGGGTGCTCATCATGCTGGTACAAGTAGAGTCAGTAACCTCTCATGGAAGTTGAGATTTGGGTGCTGGAATAGTGTTAACTCAGCATATTGGAACTTGGAAGCTTGGCCTTTGGAAGACAAGATGTGGTAATGTTGCAAGGATTGCAATGGTGTTAGAAGCAGCATAAAGTCCTCTCTGAAGTTTCAGAAACTAATGGTTGGGGTAACTGTTTGTCAACAATTCTTAAGTATTAATGGAAACTTTCTCTTACTCCCTATATGCGATATGTACACATTGAAGCCATGGTGGATACAGATGGTTCTTGGTTCTTGGAAGTGTAGCTGAATGTGACATTTGTTTATCAATAAAGAGTTGAGATGACTGACCTTGATTGTAGATGAATTAGTTAATTGATTGTGGTATTACAGTACCTGCTGCGGAACCGTGCAGAAACATCCTCCCTGCCATTCCCTCATCTCAACGGCTTCAACAACACCAGCAACATGCGCATGTCAGTTCTAAAGTCGACCTTCACATCACTGAAGGATGCTGGTGAGAATCATTCTCTGTTTTCCATGATTGTATTGTTACTGATGGTTTACGCTTCATGTAGATAGCTTTCATTAGTATGGCATTACACTTGATGAGCATATGTATGACAACATTACTACTACTATAAGTTATCACATCGTGTCACACAATGTGATAACGCATTTATCTAGCCGAATGTTTTTACTAAATCAAAAACAATACGCATAACGTTTTGCTTCAATTTCTTTCTCAGTTTTTGTGGTAAAACGTTTCCTTGCTGCCATGTTGACAACAGCTGATCGAGTGACCTCAATGCAGTGCACGTTACTAAAGGCTTGGCGATGCACGCTTTTCTCACTTCGCGTGGTCACCGAGGCGTGGCGGGATAATATGACTTTTGTACTCCCTGCTCGTGGATCGTGACAGGTGTACATGGTATTTTATCAGAGTCACGTGACCCAATCAAAACTCGACATCCTTACATGAGGCTGGATAATACTTCATGACCTTACTGCTGTCTGTCTGCAGCCAAGATGGAGAATGAGGAGCAGGAGCTTGCAGAAGGAGAAGAACTCAAACCCATCACCAAGTGCTTCAGTGCCATGGAGGTCTCCACAAACTCCTCGGATGCCTACAGGTAGGTCTTCATGAACTTCTCGGATGCCTTCATGTAGGCTCTGAAGGTACTCTGATACCTACAGATAGGTCTCCACAAACAGATGTAAAGCCTCTGGGTAGGTCTTCACAAAGCCTCTGATACCTACAGTAATGTCTTCTTCAAGGCCGTCTGATGCCTACAGTAATGTCTTCTTCAAGGCCCTGTGATGCCTACAGTAATGTCTTCTTCAAGGCCCTCTGATGCCTACAGGTAGGTCTTCACAAAGCCTCTGATGCCTACAGGTAGGTCTTCATGAACTTCTCGGATGCCTTCATGTAGGCTCTGAAGGTACTCTGATACCTACGGATAGGTCTCCACAAACAGATGTAAAGCCTATGGGTAGGTCTTCACAAAGCCTCTGATACCTACAGTAATGTCTTCTTCAAGGCCCTCTGATGCCTACAGTAATGTCTTCTTCAAGGCCCTCTGATGCCCTACAGTAATGTCTTCTTCAAGGCCCCTCCTGATCCCTACAGTAATGTAATGTCTTCTTCAAGGCCCTCTGATGCCTACAGTAATGTATTCTTCAAGGCCCTCTGATCCCTACAGTAATGTCTTCTTCAAGGCCCTCTGATGCCTACAGTAATGTCTTCTTCAAGGCCCTCTGATGCCTACAGGTAGGTCTTCACAAAATGCTTGGATTCCTTTCCTTCATTTATCACCACTATTGTGCATTATGCTTCATGTTTCAGATTAACTAATGGTGATCCATACAGTTTCTGGCAGTCAGACGGAGACTCATTTCTGTCACTTTTTCTTAAGGGTACCACTGGATCAGGTGCATTTCTGTCACTTTTTTCTTAATTCTGATTAACCCGAGATACAGTGGAAACATTCTGTTCCTCAAGAACAGTAAAAACATCTCACCTGAACACACCCCACCACTGCGCATGTGCACTGGCTTCCCATGTGACCAGCCAAAAGCCAATGTCTGTCACTCTACCCATTTTCATAATTTCCCGATAGTGACATCAATTAGTGGAGAGCTAAGCATCTCTTTGGATATCTGGCTTCACTGCTGTAGAAGCAATAGTATTGGTGTTATAGCAAGTTTGGTTTGATTTGCCTGTTGTATAGGTGTCTGTCTTCATCATCACGTGGGTTGATTGTTGTGTGTTGAGATATACCTTGTTACTTCACAGGTTGCGGATGAGGAACAATGTGGTCATCAAGCAGCTGTCAGTGTCTGTGGCCTCATCCGATCAAAGCTACATGCCGGAGCTGGTGATGGTGTCAGCAGGCAGGAGTCCCAGAGCTCTGCGGGAACTCAAGGAGGTCCGCATTGCTAGGTAGGACACTCCACTTCCTGCATGGTGCACGCTCCACACAGTGATGGTTGATTCACAGAGGTCTCTGTGTTATTGCTACCATCAGTGACAGCTCTCAACTGTGCTAGGTTGTCTGCAAACGTACAGGAGTTCAGCTTGCACTCCCTTGATCATTATGCTCACAAACACATGATCAACCTATCCTGAATACAATATAATGATATTACAAAAGACATACACAAAAAATATAAACATCACTCCTTTTGATGTTTATGTGAAATTTTCCAAATTTTTAACTAATCCTGCACTACTTACTTCCTGCACTTATTGCTTACAACTCAAAACGTGGCTGTGCCAGACGATTGATGTTGAAAGCATAGGCTGTGAACCCTTCCTGGGCTCGGGTAAACATCTGTCTGCGCACGCATCACCGGAAGGTGACGTCAGCCACCTCAGATTATTGCTTTTCGCACGCCTCGCAAGACGTGTGGTTTGCCAGATCGACTGATTTGTATCCTGTGAATTGTGTTTATTGATAATAAACTGACTTTTGGATGTTTTTCCTTTGTTTTTCAGAGGGTGTAGGTATTACCCTTCTGTTTCTTTGTTGTAGTACTGTTGTAGTGATGGTGTTTGTGTTAAACACGATAGTTTTCATCACTATTATCGGTCACTTCGCCCTTCGCCATTCATTCGATGTATTTGTAGTGGCTTGTTCTTGGCTCATGCTTATTTGTTATACTATTATCGTATATTAAGCCTTAATTCTGGTCTCCAGTTTTTGTCAGTATTTGTGACACGTTTGTTCTCAATTATGCTGTTTCCCCGTGTGATTTGTTGTTTGCTGGGGTTTCTACTATGTTGCAGTTTCTATACAGCACAGGCTGTATAGTTTGTAAGGCGGGGTATCTCATAAGTGCCTTCATTCATACTGTTTGAATTGCACTTTGCTGTGTTTTTCCCCGTGGCTCTCCATGTTGCTGTTTTCAGAGTTTCCATGGCAGGCGCCATAACTCGGAGGCCTAAGATCCATGCGCGCGCCGCTCAGCAGTCACTGGATGTTTTGACATCAATTCCACACATGTTTCGACATCAATTCCACACTTGACATAGTTAGCAGGGACTGCAGCGCCTGTACGGCGCATCTACCACATCGACTACAACCTCGGCGTTCAGCAGTTGGTGTCAGCTTCTCCGTCGACATACCCTACAGCAAATGTATGGTCTACCTGATCATAGGTCTATTAGATATAAGCCTGTAATGGGCCTATAAAATGGCCTACTCACTCCAGCTTGTCCAGTTTTTCTACCAGATATAGCACCTGTACAGCACTACCAGATGTACGGCACCTCTTTGAGATCCAACGCCTATACCACCATACTCACTTTTCTACCAGATGCAGCACCTGTACGGCACAACCAGCTGTATAGCGCCTCTACTAGATCTAGCGCCGGTACGACGCTACCAGCTGTATGGTGCCTCTCCTAGATCTAGCTGTATGTATGGCTACCAGCTGTATGGCGCCACCTCTCTTCTATGATGGCTTGGTAGTGGATGGTCCTCACTGTCCTTGGCGAACACTTACGGGCAGATCTTGCCAATGCATGTGTTATTTGAGGTCTAGGCTTTCTCTCCCCTTTTCCGGTTGGGATTCAAAGTTTCATTGGGATCTATCTGGCCAACCCCAGTCCTTAACTTCCATATTTAATAACGAGTTCAAGGACGTCTATCGAACAGTGTGCGACTTTCCTCAGAGGGAGATAGCGTTGACGGCCTTCCAGCAAGTCCAACATCCCTCATCACATGAATCCAGTACCAACTCTTGCCTCGGCACCACACTGTTAGGCAGGCTTGGAATCAGGCTCCGATCCGTGGTTGGAGACGTGGTGACAAGTCTCATATCGACAAGGGAGGATATGAACGTAGCTGCGTCCCCTTCAAGGGTGACGGAAGCAGGGGCAAATGAAGCTCAAGATCCACACGACTGGACACTCCCTCTTCCAGAGGCTCTTGTATTATCCAAACACCCGTACATTGGTGACTACTGCGTTTCTGACGTAATTGGTTATTTCTTGGGGGTCCATACGTCACGACATCTGGAAACATGTGTTCCGGCTCCTCATAGCTCTGCCTCAACGATGTGCCTGGTTCCGAGGTTTACTTTCGACCGGTAGTACCTGCGCTTTTACTTCAACAGCTCCATGGTTATTAACTCATATCATAATGCAGCAACAGTGATAATTTGGTGATTTCACGTGTGCTCTCTGCCATATGGTGTAATTTGCATACGGCAAGCAGCCGATTTTCACCATACATCTTTATACTAGCTGGGCTAATTAGCTGGGTTGACTTGTCCACCGGGACGTTTCGGACCTTGTACCATCACACACACTGACGTACATTTGAAGCCTCTTCAAGCAGACAGCATCCTCATTCGGAATCCGGAATCCGGATGGTTTTAGACCCTCATCCCATGTGTGCTGTTCAGACCGATGTCCACCCGGGAATGACAGGCAGACATTCGTCAACATGTCGGTCTCCTGCCTCACTTACCTCAGTATGTTTTTCTTGTAGTGGACTCGCCCATAGATGTCATAGCTGCGCTCCCCTTGACTGAGCGAAGTTCCAACTACTTTGTTTAGGTCGGAGCCTCCATGCAGAATTGAGGCCCGACTATATCTGATAATCTCAGGGTTTTGGTCATGAGATCAATCAACAGTTTGGAGCTCTAGGCAGTGTTCCTCGCTATCCGCCACTGGGCTTTGTCTCCTGGGCAACCTAATTGTTGTGTGGTTTAACAAGAGTTTGACCGGGTTACTGTTTCCAGAAGTCCTGTCTGTTCTCCAGTAATAGCCAACACCCATGTCTGTCTGAGAACTCAGCATATTTCTTGGTGCAGGTACATCTTAGCGGACGCTATATCGGGATCTGACAGAGTCGCTTTCACAGACTGAATGCTACACAAAGAGATACCAGTTTATGTGTATCTGTCTCCGGATGGTCAGCCTGGGCAGCAGATGGCTTAAGCCTTTCCTGGGGGAGCTACACGCAAAATACGTGTCCTCCGGTCTTGTCTTGCATGAAGACGTTCCTGTGTTCCTTTTGTGTTCAGCTGGTGTACTCAGTTTGTACATTAAGCGAACTCAAGCTGTCAGAGGCATGTAAGCAAAACCCTGAGTGTTTTGTGGATACGGACTTCCTTCATTCATGCGTATAATGCCGATGGTCTGGTTTCCCCTACATCTACGCCAGCCCCCAGTACTTCGCACACTCGCGTCTACTATGGCGCTTCACTGTAACTACAGTCGCATTGATAATGTAAGAGTGTTTCTAGAAGTCGGACACAGTCTTCGCCAATCAGTGTCCACACCATATGTGTCTAACGCTTCGGACCATTGGTGCCAGACAAGCACCTCAACAATCCCTGAAGGATGTCACATCCTACATTGTTGATCGCAATGAAGCAGGACGATGTCGTATGAGGATGTCATGTGGGGAATGAGTTGTTTTGAGCAAAACAACTGGGTATGTCAGTTAAGGAGTAACACTTGGATAGACTCAGGTCCATGCTTTTTCTTCCCATGAAGCATGCCGACGACGTATGGGAAAAGAGTTGCTCCAGGAGAACAACTGGGTGTGTCAGTTAAGGAGTAACGCTTGGGTTAACCCGAGTCACTGCTTTTTACTACATTTCCCTAAAGCTAATAACGCTTTAAAAATCGTCTGGTATATTCCATTTAAGACTCTGTGTCTTATATGCGTGATTACTACACTGCCTGATCGCCACTGTCCCGATCTAGGTCGCGACGACAGTTTTCCGCCACCACCGATAACATTGACCGAGCTGTCTTTGTTTACCTTTGGCGAGGTGATCCCCACAGATGACAAGCCCTCCATCCTGCCTGTCCGATAAATGTGCAGGAAGTAAGTAGTGCAGGATTAGTTAAACCAGGAAGTGATCACAGCCTACGCTTTCAACATCAGTCGTCGTGGCTGATGTTTAGCCAAGACCACGCTTCGAGTCGTAAGCACTAAGTGCAGGAAGTAAGTAGTGCAGGATAAGTATACAAATATAAAAAATATTGAGATTTTACTAAGATTCTTGTAATGGTCATGTGCACACTGGTAATAAAGATAACACTGGCAGGGTAACAAATGAGCCTGTTCTTAAAGATAGTACTGACAGTGTAACATAGAGCCTATTGTTAAAGATAGTACTGACAGTGTAACATAGAGCCTATTGTTAAAGATAGTACTGACAGTGTAACATAGAGCCTATTGTTAAAGATAGTACTGACAGTGTAACATAGAGCCTATTGTTAAAGATAGTACTGGCAGGGTAACAAAGGAGCCTGTTGTTAAAGATAGTACTGGCAGGGTAACAAAGGAGCCTGTTGTTAAAGATAGTACTGGCAGGGTAACAAAGGAGCCTATTGTTAAAGATAGTACTGGCAGGGTAACAAAGGAGCCTGTTGTTAAAGATAGTACTGGCAGGGTAACAAAGAGCCTGTTGTTAAAGATAGTACTGGCAGGGTAACAAAGAGCCTATTGTTAAAGATAGTACTGGCAGGGTAACAAAGGAGCCTGTTGTTAAAGATAGTACTGGCAGGATAACAAAGGAACCTGTTGTTAAAGATAGTACTGGCAGGGTAACAAAGGAGCCTATTGTTAAAGATAGTACTGGCAGGGTAACAAAGGAGCCTGTTGTTAAAGATAGTACTGGCAGGGTAACAAAGGAACCTGTTGTTAAAGATAGTACTGGCAGGGTAACAAAAGAGCCTGTTGTTAAAGATAGTACTGGCAGGGTAACAAAGGAGCCTATTGTTAAAGATAGTACTGGCAGGGTAACAAAAGGAGCCTGTTGTTAAAAGATAGTACTGGCAGGATAACAAAGGAGCCTGTTGTTAAAGATAGTACTGGCAGGGTAACATAGGAGCCTATTGTTAAAGATAGTACTGGCAGGGTAACAAAGGAGCCTGTTGTTAAAGATAGTACTGACAGTGTAACATAGAGCCTATTGTTAAAGATAGTACTGACACTGTAACATAGAGCCTATTGTTAAAGATAGTACTGACAGTGTAACATAGAGCCTATTGTTAAAGATAGTACTGGCAGGGTAACAAAGGAACCTGTTGTTAAAGATAGTACTGACAGTGTAACATAGAGCCTATTGTTAAAGATAGTACTGACACTGTAACATAGAGCCTATTGTTAAAGATAGTACTGACAGTGTAACATAGAGCCTATTGTTAAAGATAGTACTGGCTGGGTAACAAAGGAGTACCTGTTGTTAAAGATAGTACTGACAGGGTAACAAAGGAGCCTGTTGTTAAAGATAATACTGGCAGGATAACAAAGGAACCTGTTGTTAAAGATAGTACTGGCAGGGTAACAAAGGAGCCTGTTGTTAAAGATAGTACTGGCAGGGTAACAAAGGAGCCTGTTGTTAAAGATAGTACTGGCAGGGTAACAAAGGAGCCTATTGTTAAAGATAGTACTGGCAGGGTAACAAAGGAGCCTATTGTTAAAGATAGTACTGGCAGGGTAACAAAGGAGCCTGTTGTTAAAGATAACACTATGGGGTAACAAAGGAGCCTGTTGTTAAAGATAGTACTGGCAGGGTAACAAAGGAGCCTATTGTTAAAGATAGTACTGGCAGGGTAACAAAGGAGCCTATTGTTAAAGATAATACTGGCAGGGTAACAAAGGAGCCTGTTGTTAAAGATAGTACTGGCAGGGTAACAAAGGAACCTGTTGTTAAAGATAGTACTGGCAGGGTAACAAAGGAGCCCTATTGTTAAAGATAGTACTGGCAGGGTAACAAAGGGGCCTGTTGTTAAAGATAGTACTGGCAGGGTAACAAAGGAGCCTATTGTTAAAGATAGTACTGGCAGGATAACAAAGGAAGCTGTTGTTAAAGATAGTACTGACAGGGTAACAAAGGAACTGTTGTTAAAGGAGCCTATTGTTAAAGATAATACTGGCAGGGTAACAAAGGAGCCTGTTGTTAAAGATAGTACTGGCAGGGTAACAAAGGAGCCTGTTGTTAAAGATAGTACTGGCAGGGTAACAAAGGAGCCTGTTGTTAAAGATAGTACTGGCAGGGTAACAAAGGAACCTATTGTTAAAGATAACACTATGGGGTAACAAAGGAGCCTGTTGTTAAAGATAGTACTGGCAGGGTAACAAAGGAACCTGTTGTTAAAGATAATACTGGCAGGGTAACAAAGGAGCCTGTTGTTTTAGGCTCGACACAGAAGTACTTCTCCTTACAACTGACTTTAATTGCTTTGATGTTTTCCCCCAATATGGAGTCTGTGTTACAATTGGTCTCGAGGAACCTATGCTTGTGGAACATGCTGCTTGAGTGAATCAAGTGGTCAGGTTCCGTGTTCCTGAACCATGTTGTGTTCCTGACAGAGTGAATCAAGTGGTCAGGTTCCGTGTTCCTGAACCATGTTGTGTTCCTGACAGAGTGAATCAAGTGGTGTTCCTGACAGGGTGAATCAAGTGGTCGGAACCGTGTTCCTGAACCATGTTGTGTTCCTGACAGAGTGAATCAAGTGGTCAGGTTCCGTGTTCCTGAACCATGTTGTGTTCCTGACAGAGTGAATCAAGTGGTCAGGTTCCGTGTTCCTGAACCATGTTGTGTTCCTGACAGAGTGAATCAAGTGGTCAGGTTCCGTGTTCCTGAACCATGTTGTGTTCCTGACAGATCGGATCATGCAGTTCATACTTTCAGTTACAGAATATTCTTGTGTGAAGCTTTATACTAGCTGGGCTAATTAGCTGGGTTGACTTGTCCACCGGGACGTTTCGGACCTTGTACCATCACACACACTGACGTACATTTGAAGCCTCTTTCAAGCAGACAGGATCCTCATTCGGAATCTGGCACGTACAGGTTTTAGACCCTCATCGCATGTGTGCTGTTCAGACCGATGTCCACCCGGGAATGACAGGTGGACATTCGTCAATGTGTCGGTCTCCTGCCTCACTTACCTCAGTATTTTTTTCTTGTTGTGAAGCTGAACCTCTTTTAAAGAAAAACTGATATCTGCTCAGGAGTAATGATTCTTCATGTATTTGTTTCAGTCATTTTACTGGAGATGTTGTGCTTCTGAAAAATGCCAAGGTCTTCTATCCCAGTAAGTATATGTTACATGAAACTATTTTCTTCCAACTTAATCAAAATTAGTTATAGTAATTGTTGATTTGCTTGTATAATATCATTGTAAGAGATGTTCATTTTGGTTTCTAGTCATTCAGATTAACATCAAGAGATGCCACAGTGACGGCTGTGATACAAGAATACATGGCATCAAGACAGTTGGATACAGGTAACCATACTCTCCAAAAGATACCTGTTTTACTGTTGAGTATAAATTGTTCAATAACAGGATTATAATCTGCCATAAGTCTTAAAATTAACACTGACTTGTTCAACACAGAATTATGCAAACCCATTGTCTTTGCATCATTTGTGTCAAGGGGCATAACTCTGTACCTATGTGAATATCCTCAAATGATTTGTTAACCCAGAATTATGCATCATTTGTGTCAAGGGGCATAACTCTGTACCTATGTGAATATCCTCAAATGATTTGTTAACCCAGATAGTTTCGCTGGGACCTGTGTGGATAAACAAGGTTTCGTTGTACTTGTATTGCTGTGATACATATTGCCGTCTCACAAGACTGTGTTTAATGTCAGAGTTGTCCGAGAACCAGGTGTAACTGTGATGGATGCCACGGCGATGTGGTATCTACAGATCCTGGCATCAACAGTGACTGCCGCCGTCCCTCAGTCTCCGCAGCTCCGCCTGCTGGTCCTGCAACATACAAGGTAGGAATGTCTTACACTAAGTGTAGCTAACTACATCATTACTTTTGTCTCTCCCTTGACTTGCCAGTTAACAGTTGACTATACACTATTCTTTTCTGTATCTATATGATAAATTATTTAAGTAACAAGGTCTTGTAAAGACAGACTTTGGTTCTGCTTTTGAGCTGTTTGGTGTGTAAGATTTGAGGAGATATCAGTTGAGATGTTGAGGTCAATGTTGAGATGCTCAAAACTGGGTAACAGTTCAGCGTTGAGATTTTTGCTACGCACTATACTGATGTTATCGTAATCACATGCTACCTTATTCAGAGATCTATCAGCTTCAATATGCCTTTGTCAGATTTTATCAGACAGTAACTTCAAGACTCATTCACATATAAATGTTGTTTTCAGCAGAGTTTTACTTCTTAATTGTTAGACTTGTATGGTAGAATCCAATGTTTTGTTGCATGTGGAGAATGTGTTTTGTGGTAATGATGAAAGAGAGGCCGTGACGTGTGTGGCTCTGCTTGTAGGAAGGCCCTGGAACACATGCCACCGCTGTCCCTCAGTTTGGCCAGCACTGACCGCCCCCCAGTTCCTCAGCAAACATGTGATGCAGGAGATGGAGACATTCATCACGGAGCTGGCAAGGTACTAGCCCACGTCTTCACTTTAGGAGCTGACGTCTTCACTTTAACTGCAGATGTTCTCCTGACCTCTCTCTATGCTGTTATAGGCACTGTCAATTAAATTCTGAAATATATGGAGATGAGTTAGTGAGTGAGGTTAGTTTTACGCCGCACTCATCAATATTCTAGCTATATGGCAGCGTTCTGTAAATAATCGAGTCTGGACCAGACAATCCAGTGATCAACAGCATGAGCATTAATCTACGTAATTGGGATACGATGACATGTGTCAACCAAGTCAGCGAGCCTGACCACCAGATCCCGTTAGTGGCCTCTTACGACAAGCATGGGTTACTGAAGATCAATTCTAACCCAGATCTTCACGGGTCTATATGGAAATGAATAGGATTATTCTGTGGAAGTTATGGCCATATGGACCTTGGCTCATTTTGCCTTTCCATGATATGACTACATATATTTATACCTGTTGAATATGTTGATTGATATTAGATATAGAGATATATACATGTGTTGGGGAATATCTGTTTTCACATTGTTTTGTTTCAGTAAAGGAGATGAGATTATACCCGAGGGACTGCACCTCCTGCTGGGGCTCAACCTGGCCAGGGGCAATGTGGCAGGCCTGCTGAAGACTCTCAAACACTTCTATAGTGAGTGCTGCATTTGGCCTTGACTTGACGGGGATAGGGTTCATGGAACCACATTATTTAGTTCTAAGGATCCTTGCATGCTGTATGATGGTGCTGTAAGCTATTGAAATGGTGTTGTCTCTTGTACATTCAGATAATCACTTCAGAATCTGGGCTGAATCAGTGATCATGTTGTCAGTGGTCGTAACTGATGGGTGAAATAACAGATCTATATGATTGCTCTTGATACGCTGTAGGTATCCTGTCAATTTAGAGACAGTATTTTGTTTCTGCCTCCATTCTTCACATGGTGTGTCAATACATTCTCAGAATTGGCTGTTTACAATGGACTTTCTAACCACATGCAGCTCTCACAATGATGGAAATAGAGCTACGCAGCTCACTCACTGTTCCTGCTCATATCCTGTAACAGCTGCATGTTTACCTAAGCATTATGTACATGTTGTTTGTTTTCAGGAAATCCTGAGCTGACCCTGCCGTGTTCAGGGCTGCTGCTAAAAATGATTGAGGCCAGGAATTCCTGCTGGGAGAGATTAGGTGGGTAGTGTGGCTGGACTGAGGTGTCATCCATCCAAACTCTGGCTATTCAAACAAGATGATTTTAAACAAGTTGTATAATGAATTAATTGCATGCCTGTGAATTTTTATGATGATAACACAGGCAGAATACATTTCTTCAGCTCAGATTCCGTGACTTGTTTGATTGTGTTCTATTGTAAGAGGCAGCTATCCAGACTGTATCTAAATTCTGTGGGCCAATGCTCATGATACAGATATCTCCAAGACAAGAGATATTGCAGATATTGTGTTCTGGTTTACACACTGCAGACTCTGGTGATATTTATCCGACTGTTATTCTTGACTACAATTTACCCTCATAGTTGCTAACCCATGCTGGTTGTGTGTTTCAGAGAGCTCCCTACAGTTCACTGTGTGTGGAAGTGACGGGGGACAGATGGACGACACCTCTAGTGCTGAGAATGTCACCTTGAAGCCATCAGGCAATGCACCACAGCGTAAGATTGGCTTTCTGGACATGCTTTGTAGCCCTGTGATTCACCTTCTGTGGTCCTCATTATAATCAGTCTTACAGGGTTGAATAGGTGCCCAGCTACCTTTGAGTGAAATCATGTAATCTCATTTGATAAATCGCTGAGTTACCCTATGTCTGTTGTTCTTTCTACAGCCTACCTGTCTGCAGATGGCAAGACAAAAGTGAACTTGTTCTTCAAGGCCCCAGAAAACGTTCAACTCACCAAGCTCAGAATGAAGGTAACCAGAGATTGACACTGGATGGAAAACCTGTGCTCATAGCTGTTTAATGTGTGTGAGAAATGTACAATAGAACTTTTGTTTGGAATATCTGGAAACGCTTTATGAACTGTAAATCCTGACTTTTATGAATATAGTTGAATCCTTGGTCATGTAGTAGTGGCTTCCCTGTATAGCTGTTGTCTTCTTGTTGAAGTTATTGATGGCATTTGGCGGTTTCGAATATTTGTAGTTATAAAACAGAGGATTTTAAAAGTCAATTTTAGGAAATACAAATTTGGTCCCTCTTCCATTAGGTGATGGTGGCTAATGTTTCCATGGCTTTGTTTATATCTTGTCAGATAACGCCTGGTGGTCGTGGGCCAAGGAGAGGCTTAGTGTTTGTGTTCAGAGAGAGGTAAGTTGTACATTTAAGGGGTAAACTGTACAGTGAAGGGGTAAACTGTACATTGGAGGGGTAAACTACATTGAAGGTGTAAGCTGTATATTGAATGTGTAAGCTGTACATTGAAGGGGTAAACTGTACAGTGAAGGGGTAAACTACATTGAAGGTGTAAGCTGTACATTAAAAGGGGTAAACTGTACATTGAAGGTGTAAGCTGTACAGTGAAGGGGTAAGCTGTACAGTGAAGGGGTAAACTGTACAGTGAAGGGGTAAACTGTACATTGGAGGGGTAAACTACATTGAAGGTGTAAGCTGTATATTGAATGTGTAAGCTGTACATTGAAGGGGTAAACTGTACAGTGAAGGGGTAAACTACATTGAAGGTGTAAGCTGTACATTAAAAGGGGTAAACTGTACATTGAAGGTGTAAGCTGTACAGTGAAGGGGTAAGCTGTACAGTGAAGGGGTAAACTGTACAGTGAAGGGGTAAACTACATTGAAGGTGGAAAATGTACAGTGGACTGCTGTGAACATGCGTGTGTTTGTATCTTCCAGCAAGGAGTTTAAACTGGAGGAGCAGATTGAAAGGTTCAGCTTGTATGACACATGGCATGAACTTGAATACAACTTTAGTGTACAAGTCAGGTGGGTCGATTCTGTGTTGCTTCAGTCAGTGAAACGCTAGTCAATTGGATTTTGATACATCATTGGGATTTGGGCAAGTTGTTTGGATTTCCTGGTTAGAATATTCATCACAACAACCTATGCTTGTTGGTTGCTAGCCAGACTCAGTAACCTTGGTTGATTGCATGTCCTGGGATCCCAACTGATGCTCAAATATCAATCACTGGATTGTCTGGTCCAGAATAGAGTATTTGTACACTGATGTCATTTGGCTAGAAGACTGGAGAGTGGGAATCTACAGCAAATTGACACAAAGTCATAATGGGTGTGTGTTGGGGGATGGGGGGTGGATTGTTTGTCATTATTGACGTCACCAGCATGCTAGACAGCCGTAGTATATCCTGATGTCAGTGTGTGTGGAGAGGTGTAACCGGTATATGACTATTGTCACCATCTGATGTAGTAGTGGAGTATACTGCCTGCTGCTTCTTGACATCATGTCAGATATGTTTGCTGTTTCAGAAATGTAGGTATTGGAGGAAAGCCTGACAACCCTGTGGCCTTCTTCATGTTTGATGATGACTGGTATGGTGTTCCTTAATATTTCTAGGATTTGAAGTTATATTTAAGAGTAAGGTTTTTCAAAGTAACATTGGCAAAGTTATAAAGTTCACAAAAATGTTGTTAATAAACGGTGGCAAATTCAGCATCTTTGGTGTTATATGTCTTAAACTATTGTATTAAGGGCCCAGAAAGAAGTGAGACATTGTCTTTACTTTCAACCATGTTCAGTGACTCTGTGTATGTTTTGTGATACTGTGTACATTCCATCAGTCTGTGATAGCATGTAAAGCCTGTGATACAGACTGTGTTAGATGTATGCTGGTTGTTTCAGTGATGAAATGGACGTCCCTGTCAGCTGGTACCCTACAGGCCAGGTATGTATAGTTTCTCCTTCCTTACTGTGTAGCCTAGTGGTTAAATCATTCCCTCATCATGCCAAGGACCGGGTTTGATTCCCCATATGGGTACAGTGTGTAGAGACCATTTCTGGTTATCCTGCACCTCTCTCTCCCCACCCACCCTGGCCACAAGTAATGTTGCTGGAATATTGCTAAAATCAGTTTAAAACAATCCTCCCTATAGTATCTCACAGATACACGTATCAACTTACATTACATTACAAGACTTCTTGCTAATTAAATGAACAGGCCATATTTTTCTCATATACACTTCTGACAGTCAAAGTAAGAATATACCCCACTTGGAAATGCCAAACAAATTACAAAAGCGAATACAGTAATATTGTTATGCTCGCAGTTAAGATGTCAGCCATTCTATTGTAGATAAACAGATCAAAAGGCATGCCAGTAACTGTTCCCTTGGTGCATATGTTTAGTCATGTATAACCCTTGAGACAGGTCGCCAACTAATACTAATGCTTGCATATTGGGATATATAGATTCCTGTGTTTTATGAAAATGATTTGACCTTTATGGCTGCTTTGTTGAAACTGGTGTCCATTATTGTGATCTGGTTCCCAATGCGTCCTGGTGAAGTTCCTGGAGCCCGACAGGAGAGTACAGGGAGGATAGGGGTCATCTCCATCAAGTTTTCTGGATTTGTCAGGAAGTCACAATTTACAGAGGAGGAAGTAGAGGTATGTGAATATGTTATATATTACCCTTGATATTCATCCTCATATACACAACTCAACAGCTCAAAAATCAAATGATGTTATAATCTTAATTAATTTTCAGTGCTTCAGATTTTTCATCCATTGTTACACTTTGCATCTATCCCTTCTCATGGTGTAGTGGTTAAATCCACCTAGGTCGCGTGGAGTTCGATCCCCGACGCGTCATACAGCGTTAAAATATGGTACTTGTTGGTCCCTGCCTGGCTCAGCATTAATGGGTACAACAAGGACTGAAAAATCAGTATAAAGTGATGCTTACTCGCGGTATAATCCAGTGGGCTAGCACTATAAGCTTCAGTCTCAGTGCTTGCACACACATGCACGCGTTGTCATATGGCCGAAAATATTCTTGACGTAAAACCCATTCTTCTTCATAGAGATCGTCCTTGGGGTACATATTATGCATTTTCCGGCTGAAAAATGTCCTGTGACAGTTGTATCAATGTTTTTTGAATAAAAAGATTGAACAATAAATAAACTCTTTTATTTATTATACGGTCCCTGCCTCACGGAGTTACCTCCCTTAGCGCATGCGCACCAACTGGGTAGGCTCCTAGACCCGTATCATCATTCCTTCTGCTGTCACTGCCATGAACAGACGTATGTTGAATACTTCATGAGCCGGACGCAGCTGAACTTTCTGACGAACCAGAAATTGAATATGTCTCAAACACCACCTGTATGTATGGTCTTTATTTGCTTATGAAAAGGAACAGTAAAGATTTACAGTTGGTTGTTTCATAATTGTGACTTTGTATTAATTCTAATACGCGAACTTTCCGTGGTTTCCGCCGCGTGTTGCTCTGCCATGGCGGGAAGTTTAAGCGTGCCATGTGGTCGTAATGTATTGCATTATTAAAACCAACTATTACTTTCCGTGGTAACCTTCCGCGTATTTTTCAATGTTTTCCTCGTGTTTATATGCTGCTGGCGCCCGTTAGCTACATGCTTGCGTGTTTGCTTTCAGGCCTTTTCATCCTGTTAGGTCTGCGGACAAAAAGTATTCCACGGGCCGACAGGCATGAGCAATCGTTGCCTGTCTCGAGAAGGCGGGACCACGATCGCGGAATCTTGTCCAATATGTCTTGGGTTTTCCCCCAGGCCCAAAGAGAGGGCGGCGGATACGGCTCTTCTACGGGAGATCGTGTGGCGGTTGGGGAACTGGCGCTTAGAGTCCCCTGTCTAAGGCTAAAAAGCCCGTCCAAAAAAGGGAAAAAAATCCGTGGCCAAACCCCCTCTCCGCCAGTACTGGTGGCTTTGACATGTCTATAATGGAAACCTTGTTTCAGCAGCATATGGACTCTGTGAAGTCCCTCGTTTGTGAGTCAGTTGGAGGTCTCCGGCAGGAGTTCCTCGCCATCACTCGGACGGCGGAGAGTCAGGGTGGGATCGCCGGGCTCGGCTCGATCCCTCAGCCTTGAGGCGTCTGTTGACCCGTTGCCTCTGGCTTCGGGTCCGGACCTTCGGCTGCCCGGAGGAGGAGGTGCTCCCAGTCCCCTCTCGGAGTTAGGCGCAGGGACCGTTGAGTATTCCTGGTGTTCCGGTCCCTGCGCCTCCGCCCCCATGGGAGCGGAGGCACCAGTTCTGCCTGGTCTGCCTCCAGCGTCGCCTCGACGAGGGTCCATGCACGCCTGCTGGCTGCGGCGATGGAGCAGTCTGTCTGCTCTTCCCTTTCTGTGCTTCCTAGCGTTAGGCAGCCCACCGGGTCGGGGTTAGGGTCCTCTTTCGGAGGAGACCCAGCCTCTGACTTCGGGCACCGAGCGCCGAGGCAATGGAGCTTAGGGGAGGTTGAGGAGCATAGCGGAGGCTTCCGTTTTGCCGACTCTGCGGGAGGTCCGGCAAAGAATTGCTGAGGGCCTACCCAAGCCAGCGGTGCCTGTGGGGTTGCGTGGACTCGGCTGAGTTCCGCTTGCCTGGCGCAGGCGTTTGCCCTCGGCAACCCTGCGCAGACGCGCAGCTCGCATTTTGCCTTCGTACCCCCATGGTCTCAGGCGTGGTTGATCCCCTCTTGTCTGGTGCCCGAAGTCCGTTCCGGACTTGCGGATCTCGATGCGGCGCTTCAACTTGGGGAGGACTCCTGTTTGTAGTTCCCATCGTTGGCGAGTGCGTGTTCACTTCCGTGCGCCCTGGGGGAGCTTCGGCTTCCTCGGAGCAGCTCCGGCTGCTCGGCAAGGGTGCCTCACTCCACCTTTTGCCCTGCGCGGAAGCCCTGCGGCACGCGTACCCGGACCTACGAGGAGGTCTACCGGAACAGCGATGGCGCAGCAGGTGCGGTGGTGGTCCACGAGGCCTACCTCTCCCTCGATTCAGAGGTCGGCCCTGGAGGCGGAGGGGCATGCTGGCGGCGTTTAGCGCGTAATCGTGCTGCTCCGTCAGCTCGGAAGTTCAGGCACACCTGTAGCGCGACTCTTTTGCGGTCTGCAGCGTCGGCGGTGATGTGCGCAGTCATGGGGATCGCGCAAGCTGTGGCTGTCGGCGTCTAGGTACTTTCGGCAGCGGCGCAGCAGACCTTGCTGGCCCTCCCTTTCCGTCTGGGGCGACCCTCTTTCCAGGGGCCCAGCAGGTCATACGGGAGGCTGCTGCTGCAGCTACCTCCTTCAAGAATTCTAAGGCCTTGTTGGAGCACCAGCGGGGTGTCTCGCCCAGCGCTCCGTTCCACCTTCCTCCGCCGGGCTTGCAGCCTACGCCGAGTCTGCCGGCTGGCCGGCGCTTGGTAGGGGTAGGCAGAGGAGCAGGTCCGCCAAGGGTAGGGGCAAGGAGCAGTCGACCAGCTCCCAGCCAGCCTTTAGGGAGGTCTGCCCGACCTCCCGTTAACCCATCAGGCTGCCGCTCAAGCCGTGTGTCACACCCAGTCAGCTCCGCTACTAGGGTCCGCGACGCAGCTCCTACCCCATATCCCTAGTGGGAGGCCGCCTCTCTCTATTCCTGCGGAATGGGAGAAGGCTACCAACAACGCAGGTGCTGGCCACGGTCAGCATAGGCCATTACCACTGTGGGAGGCGAGGTCCGCCCCGACTTCACCGGCATCACGTCGCACTCCGGTGCCGTCATGTCAAGCCAGGGCGGACATATTGCACGACGCAGTTCAGGCTCTGCTGGACAAGTCCGCAATCGGCGCATTCCACCAGGAGAGGAACAGGCGGGATTTTACTCCACGTACTTCCTTGTCCCGAAGAAAGACGGGCGGGTTTCGTCCCATTCTCAACCTCAAGGGGGTTGAATCGCATGCTAGAAGTACCATCCTTCAAGATGGAGACACTGCGCTTCGGTGATCTCCTTTGTTCAGCCCGGCGATTGGCTCACGTCAATCGACCCTAAAGGATCGTATCTGCATGTACCAATACATCCATCGTTCAAGCAGTACCTTGGTTCTCTTCTTTAATGACGGGATGTGTTACCAATTCAGGGTGCTCCCCTCGGCATATCGACTGCCCCAAGGGTGTTCACCAAGCTCATGTTAGTCCCAGCTACCCTAGCTCGTTCGCAAGGAAGGCGTTGTTACCCTTACCTAGAGCGACTGGTTGCTCGGAGCACTAACTCAGCCAGCGAAGTCAAGATGCTACTCACACAGTGATAGACATTCTAACTCGACTGGGGTGGATCATCAACCTCAAGAAATCCGACCTGGTACCCACCCAGGACTTGGTTTTTCTTGGAGCGATTCCAAGCGAACAAGGAACTCGTTTCCTTTGTCGCCCGACCGGATCACCAGAGTTCGGGAGATGGTATCTTCATTCCTCTCCCAGCCCCAGGCACCAGCACGGACTTGGCTCCGTCTACTGGGCCATATGGCGGCGACGATCTCTGTAGTGTGGCGGCGCCAGCTGCTGAGGATGCGGCCCTATACAGCAAGCTTTGGCTCGGCTGTGGACTCACACGGAGGATCTGGGAGCGCAGTCTCACAGTCGAGTGGTTGACACCTCACCTTCAGTGGTGGACAAATGTCGGGAATCTCACCAGGGGGATCCCCTTGGAAATCCCGGCGCCAGCTCTCACAGTTCAGACCGATCGCCCTCCTCGGGCTGGGGGTGTTCTGGGCAGTCTGTCGGCATCCGGACTCTGGTCGAAGCCAAAGCCCACCTTCACATCAGCGTGTTGGAACTGAGAGCTGTCGCGGTTGGTATTCGCGCTTCAGAGAGCATGTCCGTGGCCAGGTAGTCCGTCTTCAGTTGGACAACCAGGCGGCCATGTCGTACATCCTGAAGCAGGGAGGCACGGTGTCCCCAGCTCCTCCTCGAGTGGGACTTTCTCCTCTGGTGCGATCAGTCGCGACTGTCAGGTACTCCCTGTTTATCTCCCGGGGCTGGAGAACGTGGCGCGAGCAGATGCGCTCTCTGGCGGATCCTGGCCCCTTGCGAGTGGATGCTCAACAGGCAGATTTTCAGAGTAATCTCCCAGTTGTATGCGGGTCGTTCCAGGTGGATCTGTTTGCGTCCGGGCGGGGCGCATCAGACACCCGATGTTCTGCTCTCGGATACCGGACCCAGGGCGTTGGCTGCCGACGCCTTCCTGCTGGATTGGACGGGCAAAGTGCTCTGGGCGTTCCGCCCGTTATCACTCATTCCCCGTGTCCTTTCACAGCTGTTCACCCAGCCAGCTCGCTACTTGTGCTACTGGCACCGCTTTGGCGTCACAGAGCTGGTTTCGGTAATTCTCAGGTTTCTGGGTCAGCCTCCTGTTCTATTACCTTTACGACCGACATTCTCACTCAGAACGGAGGCCCCACCCAAATCCACGGATTCAGTGGGTGGCTTGGCCTCTGTCAGGTCTAACCTCGAGGCACGCTGGAATTCCTGCAGCAGTTGCAGACACAATTCTGGCTTCGAAGGGATTAGACAAACGCTCAGTCACGAGGATAGAGTGGTCCCGCTATGCGCACTGGTGTTCAGATAGGGG